CGTTCCTTGTCCCAGCTTCTGCCCACCTAGCAGTTCGAAAGCAGGTAAAAAATGCAAGTAGAAAAATGGGAGCCACCTTTGGTGGGAAGGGAACAGCGTTCCGTGCGCCTTCGGCGTTGAGTCATGCCGGCCCCATGAACACAGAGACGTCTTCGGACAGCACTGGCTCTTTGGCTATAGTTGGGAAATTTTGAATTTCTCATTTGTTTTGCCTGATTTTAAAAAATGTGGTAAGCAGATTTTGAAATAATTCTGGAAGGACTATTAGAATTTTTTGTTTTTACTTCAGTTAATTTAGAGGTGCAATTTTCCCTATACTGACAACGGAACAAACCTTTCTTGGGTTCACCGACAAATGTGCGCTCGACAAAAGTGTGCCGACGAAACCGCGGCGAGAAAACCGCGAGTTCTAAATCGCGCCGACGAATGAGCACAGAAGCGCGCCGACAACAGTGCGCCGACAAAAGCGCGCCTTCAACAAACAAGTAATAACCGCGAGTTATAAATCTAACCCTAAACCTAACCCTTACCTTAACTGAAATCGCGCTTTTGTGGGTGCGGTTTTGTCGGCGCGTTGTGGGCGCGTTTATGACGACGTGGTTTTCTCGCCGCGGTTTCATCGGCGGCTTTTGTCATGCGCGCATTTGTCGGGTCACGCCTTTCTTGCCCACGCTAAATTATAAAAGGTGCTCGACTTTTATTCATTTGGGTGCTCCTTTTAATATTAAAATATGCAAAGCATCTACCAGCTGTAAAGGTTAACATCCAGGCTCAACTGGGCTCCTTTGCCTGAAATTGAAATATATGGGAATTGAGTTCATTGTGATTAAGCCATCCCATAATCTCAGGGGATCGCGTGAGATGTTTCTCAGTTGGCTAGGCAAGAAAGGCTGCCAGAGTCAAGTACAGGTAGTCCTTGATTTACAACAGTCCACTTAATGGCTATCTGAAGTTACAACGGCACTGAAGAAAAGTGACTTACGGCCGTTTTTCACACTTAACGACCCTGTGGTCATGTGATCAAACTGCAGACTCTTTAACAAACAGCTTGTGGTGTCTCGGAGTGACGTGATTCCCCTTTTCCGACCGGACAAGCCAAGTTCCATGGGGGAAGCCAGGTTCACTTAATGACCGTGTGACTCAATGAACACGGCTAAATGATTCACCTAACAACAAGAAAGGTCGTAAAATGAGGCGAAAGCGACTTGTGTTGCGTAGCGGTAGCTGGGCTCAATTGTGGTCGTAAGTCGAGGACTATCAGTAGTCCTTCCAACAATACCGAAACTTAGAGAAACTGCAATGTTATCAAGGAGAGGAAGGGGAGAAGAACTGTGGGGTCCTCGGTGCTCTCTGAGCTGGGTGGTTTCCTTGCAGACATTTCAGGACCCAACTAGGGAACATCATCAGTGCCAGGAGGGAGTAGGATTTGCAGAGAGGAGGAGGAGAAGGACTGTGGGATTCTTGGTGCTCTCTGAGATTGCTTTGGTTGTTTCTTCGCAGACGTTTCGCTATCCAGCTAGGTAACATCATCAGTGCTAGAAAGAAGTAGAGTTTGCAGAAAGGAGGAGGAGGACTCTGGGGTCCTTGGTGCTCCCTGAGCTTGGTGGTTTTCTTGCAGGCGTTTCATCACCCAGCTAGNAAATCCACTTATTTACTTTATTTATTTTGTCAAGCCTGTATAAGATAACAGATATAAGTATAAACATGATTGTGGGGTTCCCCCCCTCTTCCCCCCAAAAAAAGGATGGTTTATAGCAGTGATCACCAACCACCAGAAAATTGTGGCGGTCCACAGAAAAAATATTTCCCTTTTTTATATATATATATTGCACTTAATATTATTGAGAGGGACGTGGCGGCTCAGCGGCTACGTCGCTGAGCTTGTTGATCATTAAAAGGTTGGCAGTTCGGATCCCGAGCACCGCATAACCCGCATTCTGAGGTGGATAAATTGAGGACCCTGATTGTGGGGGGCGATAATGCTGACTCTGTAAAACCGCTTAGCGAGGGCTGAAAGCCCTATGAAGCGGTATATAAGTCTAATTGCTATTGCTATAACGGAGTGAGCTCCCGTTCCTTGTCCCAGCTTCTGCCAACCTAGCGGTTCGAAAGCACTTTAAAAAATGCAAGTAGAAAAATAGGAACCACCTTTGGTGAGAAGGGAGCAGTGTTCTGTGCCCTCCCTCGCTCCCTTCCTTCCTAAGGCCCCAATGATCCTCCCCTTGATTTCCCCCTTTTTAGATGCCAAGAACTACAATTTCTATTGCTCCCCGCTATGTCGACTACAGTAGTTACCGAACTTCAGCAAAAGAGCATGTAAAGTTGAAAGTTTTTTTTAAAGATCTCTCTGCTAGTCTTATTTGTCTGTCTGTCTGTCTTATCTAGCCACCTATCCATCCCTCCACCCACCCACCTATCTAATTTATATGCTGGCCATCTTACCGTGATGTTCCTCACCTCTTGGAAATTAGCTGCTAGCTAATAAGACTGTTAGTAATTCGATCTGTTTACCGGACTGCTCCATTATTCATCTGATCGCTTTGATTCAGATTGCAATTCCTTAGCGAGTTGGATTTAGGTGGGAAATGGATTCCTCTTCTTTATTCGCCTTTTCCTTCCTTGCTCTGTCTGGTGTATTTTTCAGGCAAGAAGGTTTGCTAATTGTTAATAATTTGTCATCATATTGAGCCCAGATTGTGGGGTTTCATATCCAGCCTGCCTCTATGGTTGCTACTGTAATTTAACACTCTTTTTAAGGATGAGTAAAGCCACCTGATGAGGATAGATCTAATGACAGTTTATTGGCACCGAAGCTAAAAATAGCCTTTATTTCTGGGCTGATTTCTGGAGAAAACTGCCTACGTTCTTTGAAGAAAATGTTGCTGTCCACTTCTACGGCTCTACTCGTGGACTAAATATGTATTTGACATAACCCAAATTTTGAATAGGGACGCGGTGGCTCAGTGGCTAAGACGCTGAGCTTGTCAGTCAGGAAGGTCGGCGGTTCGAATCCCTAGCGCCGCATAGCGGAGTGAGCTCCCGTTCCTTGTCCCAGCTTCTGCCCACCTAGCAGTTCGAAAGCAGGTAAAAAATGCAAGTAGAAAAAT